CACTCAAGAAGAAAACACTATTTCTTTACTTCTCTTCCAAACTTTCTCCCCCAGCATTCTCTCTCTGGAGTCTAAGTTCAGAGCTCCAACCCCATTTCGAAGCCGTCTTCTGGCTATGCTGCAACAACAGCAGTTACTGGATGAAAGGCTGTTCTCCTGCCTCTGAACAGCCAAGTCTCACAAGGGTCTCCAGGCAGAACCTGCTCCCGCTAGGTGACGAGGTTCATAGAAAATACACAGAACCCAAGATTCCTTCAGGTCCAGAGAACTTCAAGTTTGCCCATTTTCTATATTGTCCCTATTGTTTCCCTCTTGTACCCTCTCCTCCTTAGTGACCCTCATACATAGATAAAAACAAGTAGCAATAGCATTTTTAGGGGGTGATGTCTAAGTAATTTAAAGTCAGGCATCTCAGGTGCCCTTTCACTTGAGGCAAAGTTATAACAAGGTGCTGCCTTAGGAGAAAAACCTCAAAATTCATTCATAATTCCTATTATCTGTCTTCTCAATAAGCTTTGAATTTAACAAATCTTTTTGGTAGTTGAGATTTTCATTCAGCTTTAAAATCATGTTAGTTTCCACTTTAAAAATAACAACAAAATTCTATCCATCAATAGACATGACTCTCGTTTCTTTGAGTTTGGAAGATGTAAGACAAACAAGTCCCATCTAATTAGAATGTAGAAAACAAACCCAGTGATGTCAGGGTTTTCTTTAAAAAGAGAAAGTCCTATAGTTTTCCAAGAGCATCTTACCAAGAAGTCAGTCACAAAACACCCACACGGCCCAGGTTTCACCCCTGGCCCCGCTCGGTTTCATCTGTCGGCAGTGACCAAGCAGACGGGCCCAGACCGCCCTGCTGTAGCCCTCTCAGGGACTCACCATGTCATTAATGGTTTTCGAAGCACAGAAGCCCCATGAGGAAGAGGCACACCCTCACCTGAACAGGATGAATCCTGGCCTTGGTGCTTCCTATACCTTCCACTGTGGTGACGGCAGCACCGTGCAGAGAACAGATGGGGGTCAGACAGGCATTGGCTGGATAATGTCTTCAGAATGCAAAAGAGAAGCACAAATTACATTGTACCCAGTGGGAAAGGGGACTGAGCATTCACCGAGCACCTCTAATGGGGCAGGTTTTGTATAATGTCCCAGGCTTTGCACATGCTTTTCATCCTTAGCTCATGGCCCTTTTACAGAAGTGGAGTCTGAGGGTCAGAGTGATTTGCTCAGGGTCATAGCTGGAGTGTCAGAGACAGCATCAAATGACGTCTCCTAATTCTAACTCCAGAACAGTTTCCTCTAATGTGTCTTTTTCTCTTGAATGAGGGGCAGACAGTCTCCTCTCTAGTCACATGAGACCAATCACCAAGAGCATCTTCCATCTTCTAGGCAGTGCTTGGCAAGGGGTTGCTTGGGCAATAAAGTGGATTGGATGTTGTGCTTCCGAAGAAGAAATATGGTGTGGGATGCACAACTCCTCAATCCCACAAACCTAGTGCTGGAAAATGTCCAACTCAGAATGACTCCTGAAAAGTTCTCACTCACCAAACAGAACTACAAACAGCCAAAAATACTTGAAACAAATGTTCAATCCCAAAAATAATCAAGAGATTCAAATTAAGCAATGAGAAACACCATGTTTATCAAAGCAAATGACAAAGATTTTAAAAAATTATAATAGGCATAATTAGGAAAGGTTTCAGAAAATGGAACTTACATACTTCTGATAAGAATGTAAATTGAGGTGGCTGGCCCATGGCCTACTGGTCAAGTTCTCATGCTCCACTTAGGTGGCCCAAGTTCATGGGTTCAATTCCTGGGCACAGACCTACACCACTCATCAGCGGTCATGCTGTGGCAGTGACCCAAATAAAAATAGAGGAAGACTGGCACAGGTGTTAGCTCAGGGTGAATCTTCCTCAGCAAAAAAAAAAGAAAAATAAAGAATGTAAACTGATCTAGAGCTCCTCTGGGAGACATTTCACTGAAAGGCACAAAAACCTTCAAGGTGCACACACTCCTTTACATAAAATTCCACCTCTATGGATGTAGCAGAAAGAAATGGTTACAGGCATAAACAGAAATATATAGGAATGCTCACTCTCATTTTAAAAACCAAAACAAGCCACATAAGCTACATATTCATAGGTTTTTAAAAAGTCATCAGATGCTGAGTACATAAAAAAAACTTAAATGAACTAAACTCCGTTAAGCACAAGCCCTTCCTAAGAGAGAAGAGATACAGCTGTTCTCATCTCTGCCTGCAACGGACAGAGGAGGAGGACTCTGCCTTAGACAGGAATAAGGAGAACCCAGACCAACATTCAACAAATTGTTAATAGCTACATGTGGGCTGATGCCACAAATTAAAATACAACGCTGGACTGCACTCTCCCCAAACTCTTCTCCCACCAGACTTCACTGAGTGCTGAGGACAACAGCCTAAAAATGGGGCAGGGAAGGAGTGCTGAAAGAACTCTCCAGGCACACTGGCTCTGGGACAAGGCGGATTGAGAGAGAGCAGAACTGAGAGAAAACTGCAGGCTCTCAGGCTTCACAGAGTGTAGAGCAGTTGCCAGCTTCCGGATGCTAAAGACAGGGTGGCATGGCTGCAAGAGATCTCCCAAAGCAGAGACAGTGAGACAGGAGAGCAAAGGGAACTCCCCAGTGACCTAAAAAGTGGGCAGCCAGGCTGTAAGGCAGAGGAGGATCTCCCAGAGTTCAGGAAGCAGGTGGCTTGGCTTTGGAACACAGGCAGATCTTGAAATCTCACCAGTGCTCAGATCCTTAGCTCTCGTCTGATATCTGTGGAATGATGTAAAATGGTCTAAAATATGCATAACTGGAGTCTCAGAGAGTGGAGAAGGAGAGAGAGAGAGAATAAATATTGGAAGAGATAATGGCTTGAGAAGTTTCCAAAGCTGGTAGAAGACATCAACCCACAGATCCCAGAAACTTGGCAAACTTGAAGAAGGATAAATATCAAACATAAAGAGAAGATGTTACATGTAAAGGGAAGCCATTGGCGATTTTTAGGTAGGAGAGTGCTGTGATCTGGTTTACACTTGTAACAGGCCTCTCTGACTGATGTGTGGAGAAGGCGTCTGTAGGGGTAAGGGCAGGTAACAGTAACACAAGAGTGTGATGATGGTATTATTCTTCACTGCCGTTTCAGCCCTTCCTGTCCTCCTCAGACACCACAGGGAGTCAGACAGCCTTTCACCCTTCAACAGGGGCTTCTCTGACCGTATGTTATCCTCACTGATGGTACCCTTTTCTTCTAACCCATTCATATTCCCCAGACCATGTCTGTTTTGTTCATCACTGTACCCCCAATGCCTAGCACAGTTCCTGTCACATGGTAAGTGCTCAGTGCATATTTACCAAAGGAAGGAAAGAAACAAAGTTCAAAACTACAAAAATTCAAGATATCTGGACTCTGCCGCAAGGTACCTTATCTTCTTGGCAATGGGGTTATACCGTGAGATCATCACCGTGCAGGCGCCACAGCCTCCCCCTCCACAGCCATACTTGGTTCCTGTCAGTCGGACTGGAGAAAGCATAGTTAAAGATCATGTGTTTTCCATAATTCTCTAGAATAGCTCTGACCTTAGAGGACAACACACATCAAATACTCTTAAATGTATAGTTACATTCAATACATATTTATCAAATAATACACGTATGTCTTAGCTCTATTATTTAGAATCTTTCAAATTCTTCATTTCCATTTGTGTGTTATGTCTAGTCTCCTCCCTTTCAAAACAACTGGACCACAGGTTGCTAAAAATAGGACCAAACTAAAAAAAAAAAAAAAAAAGGAGTCTATACATATAAGGGTTTGAGTATTTGAAAGTACGAGTATAGTGCATATTTGTTCTCATCCTTATCTGTGTATTTGATGACAAAGTAAAATGTCAAATTGTAAACAGTTCTTGGAATATATGTGTCGTATAATTCATGTTTGCCATATTTCTCTACTTCTCTGTGGCAGAAACTGTTAGTTGTTCCCCAATATCTGTTCTCTCCTTCTTCCTTGGTAACAGAAACCCCAATTTTTCAGTTGTGCACATGGTTTCCAAGGATAAAAAATACATTTCCCGAGCCTCCTCTGTAGCGAGGTGGGGTCACTACCAAAGCTGGCCAATGGGATGTAAACATAATTGTTGTGTATGACCTCCAGGAGGGAAATGTCCTCAAAAAGAGAGGGATGCCCCCTTCTCCATCTCTTACTTCTTCCTATTGCCTGGAATTCAGATACGATGGCTGGACCTCAGTTAGTCATCTCTGACCATGAGGAGAAAGCTGCACGCTGATGACGGGGGAGGAGTACGACATAGGAGCTGGGTTCCCTGATAACGTTGTGACACTGCTGTACTAGCCCTGATCCACCTACCTCTGGGATTCCCTTATGTGAGTGTGACAGCCACGAGAATGTGCCTCACAGACCTCCTTCAACAGGGTGGGTAACTGACCGTGAGACCCAGATGCTGCTCTGTTATATCTATCTCCCCAGTTTTCATTAAGGCCAGGCCTCCCTGGCTGCTCCCCATCAATGGCTCAGAGCTATGGAGAGACATGGGGGTACTTGTCAACCATCCCCAATGGCTGTGATGAACACGCCTTAGACCACACAGCAGTCTAAGACCCTTCCACTCAACCTTCTCTCCCTCACTTCCTTACTCCTTCGGACTTGCATTGTGGTCTAATGGCTCCCTAAGCCTTCTCTGGCTCCCTCCCTATTTCCTTTCACTCAGGCATTTCTCCTAATAAAACCTATGCACATTTAATCCCATTTTTTGGTGTCTGTTTCCCAGAGAACCTGAACTAAAACAATGAGAATGAAATAAACTTCTATCTTCTATCTTGTCTGGTGCTATTTGGGATTTTCTGTCACTCACAAGTGAACCAAATCTTAAATATTACACTTTGCCACCATGGATAACCAGGAAACCAGTGTTCACTGTTTTTATGTCCAAAGATCTTGAATGACTTTCAGAAGATAGTTATTGACGCATTTTGAGTTGTGGACTCTTTGGGAATTTCTCTCTCTCCAGGGGGAAAAAATGTACACACTCCCATTGTCACACAATTTTGCATATAATTTTGTGGGGTCTACAGACCTCCGGAAGCCCACTGGAGTTCATGCATAGCAGGCTAAGAATCCATTCCTTAGGTGGCTTTTATTTAAAAAGCTTTTCAAAGGTAACATTTTCAGGAGTAATTTATACATTGTTCTTTTACTTTCGTTTCGGGACATTTCTGTGCTCTCTTTCTCTAATGGGCATGATGATTAGTCTTTGAAGATAGAATGTCAATACTGTGACTCACAATCCTAAAGATGCTTAATTAAGCCCTTTTAACATTTGCTTTAACTCCCATTGCTAGCTTCTCCTTTTTGCACAATACATTTAGTGCCAAAACAGAGATTAGAAAGAACGTGGTTCTTCTGACAGCCACAATTGTGCACTGCCTACACAACTAAGACATAGGACTTTCTCAAAGAAGAACATAAAACCAAAATTGTCGGGAATCTGATTCAGTGTGGCTCTAAAAAGATATGTGACATCTCCCTTGATGAGGATATGAGAGCTATACACTCACAGGCAAAGCACAAAAAAGGATACGCTTCTTCCTCAGGTATGGTAACAGCATTGTTTCAGGATCAACATTTTTTTCTATCACCTGCACCAGAAGGAAAAGAAGAGTTATACACATAAAGGTGAGGGAGCTAGTGGGATATTCACAGTGGCAGGCTCATTTTAATTTGATGGAAATGTACATTAATTAACTCTTCTACTCGTATTTTCAAGTTGATTTAATGTTTACGGAACACCTGTGATGTACAAATCACCTCTCTTACGTGTGGAGTCTAAATCGTGAGCCCCTCCACCACTTTGCACTGTCCTGGGTCCTGAATCATCACTGTTCAATAAGGCAGCAGTTGTTTCCACTAACAGAACACCAGTGACTCCTGCCCAGCTTCTCATAGAGAGTCTGAAGCACGTGAGGCAAAAGATACCAGCATAGCAGAGTAGAGAAGAAGGAGGTGGGGGTGGCTGCTCCAACAGAACTGCCTCTGAGAAATTGATTTAGTTTTTTAAAAAGACTTGTTTGTTTATCATGTTCAAAGAATTCCAGTTTTCAGAAAGAGATCACACCCAACCGTGGCCCCCAAATCAAATAAACAAAGGAGAAGATAAAATGCCTATGCCAAGTGATACAAAGATGTGCAAGCAAGGGCTCACTTCAGAAGCAAGTCTGCATGGGCAACCCAGCCGCACAGCAACAGAACAGCAGTGCCCAAGGGACGGCATGATTGAAATGTCATGATGGGTTAGGTTTTCCAAAGCGACTGTGTTTTCTCTTTTTTGATTAAAAATGTGGATTTCTGGGGCAGGCCCAGTGGCATAGTAGTTATGTTCATCTACTCTGCTTCAGCGGTCCAGGGTTTGCAAGTTCAGATCCCGGGCACGGACCTACACATCGCTCCTCAACCCATGCTGTGTTGGCGACCCACATACAAAGTAGAAGATGATTGGCACAGATGTTAGCTCAGTGACAATCTTTCTCAACCAAAAAGAGGAAGACTGGCAACAAATGTTAGCTCAGGGCCAATCTTCCTCACAAGAAAAAAAAACTGGATTTCTTTTGGATTCTCAGAACCAACAGAAGCTCGATGCTTTGTAATTTCAGAAGTAGAGTTCATCATTCACCATGTTATATGAATTTCCCCCTGGGAAGTAGGTGAGGAGGAGACATGTGCTTATTCTGGAGATGCCTCCTCACCCTCAATTTTCAGTGGCCACATGCCCCCAAAGCGAGGCATGTTCCAATTACCATGGTCAGATCTGTGCCCTGGAGGAAGAGAGACGTGATTTTGCGTGTGTGTGTGTGTGTGTGTGTGTGTACACACACTGTAATACAAGGAAGAGTGTGGAGGCCCCCAGGCATCCCCAACTTAATTGGCCCTGAAATACAACTCTTTCTTTCTCAAACTTACTCCTTCCTTTCTTTTCCCTAACTTGTTTAATAGCCTCACCACCTGCTAGGGCATCGAAGCTTAAAACCCGAGCTATTTACAACTTCTACATTCCTTCAATCCACCACAATCACTGTCACCAAGTCCTGCCACTTACACTTCCAAAACGAGTCTCTACAGCCCCTCACTTCCACTGCCACTCCCTGGAATCCACAGTGGGCACCTCCTGCCTGAACAGTTATAAGGCCGCCTGAGAGGTCTCCTGCCCCATTCTCGGCACCCGCAGTGGCACTCTCCGTTCCACTACCAGAGAGACCTCTAAAATCCGAGTCTGGTCACCTCCTGTGTCTGCTGAAATGCAACACTGGCTCCTGGCTGCCAACTGCCACGCTGGCAATTCCTAAATCACGCAGGGTGCTTGTTAAAAAGAATCTCCTGTGGAATCAGGATTTCTGGGAGAGTGAACCAGAAAATGTGCATCTTTAATGGGCACGCTGGGTGGGTCTGAGGTGAATTTATATTCAAGAGTTCCTGGGATACGAGAAGAAAGTCAAATTCCGTGGCATATCCTACAAGGCCTCTTTGATCTACGGCCCGTCCTCTCCTGCCACTCACCCCACGCATCCTGAACTCCCG